CAGATAGGAAATTCTCCTCTCCCTAGCCATTGTTGCTGGTTATATAACCTTAGGGAGAGTTATTTACTTCCTGAGCCTTTCAAGATTTGTTTATGTCCAGATTCTTAAGACTCACTCTAGGAAGGAGTGTTTTAGTTTGGAGGAAATTGCCGCACCATATGTGATTTCATGTGTCACAGGTGAACATTGTTCTTCACTTAAACTTACTGAGGAGAAGTTTGAACCCAGAGCTCCCTGATTTGACTAGTGGTTAGGCTGGCTGGTTTGCTCTGAGGGATCCCGTGTTTCCTTACTAAGAGTGGGATTCTAGGTGGACTTAATGCCTACCAGCTTTTATGTGAGTTCTTGGATCTGAAATCTAGTCCTCATATTTGCATGGCAAGTGTTTTATCCCCTGAGCCAACTCCCCGACCCCACCTATTATTTTTGAATAACTTAGTCTTTTTTAAAATATTTTATATTTTTATTTTATGTGTATGTGTGTACGCCATACACCATTCTTAAACCTGGAGCGCATGTCTTTTTTTCAGTTAGGCTGGAAGCCAACAAATCCCTAGTGATGTGTCTTCACCTTCTTCAGTGTGCTCCAGACACCTGGCTTGTTGTATGGGTTCTGGGTGTGAACTCTGGTCCTCATAATTACACAGCAAACTATCCTAATTACTGAGCCTTCTCTCCAGCCCGTGTTTTATTTTTTGCTGTTTTTAAGGTGGGTAGTATACCATTGTGTGTGGGTGGGGCTTGGTAGTTTAGTTGTTCAGAGTGCAGCCACGTCTGCTCTCCTTGAGCATTTGCATTAGTGCAGGGTTTTCAGCTTCAGGAATACTTGACCCTGAGTTTCTTTGGATCCTGTTCTAGTTTTCTTCTTGTTGATTTGACAAGTACTATGACCTAAAACAACTATAACCTACAAGTGTAAGCCAAATAAATCCATCACTGAGGGAAGGCTTAACCAGCTATAGTCATGCTTAACCAGCTTTCTTATATAACCCAGGTCCACTTGCCCAGGGAACAGTGCCACCCACCGTGGGTTGGGCCCTCCTATGTCAGTTAAAAACAGGACAGTACCCCACAGACATGCCCACAGGCTATTCTGATCTGACAGGCTCCTCAGTCGAGACTCCCTTAGATGACTAGGCTGTGTCAAATTGACAGTTAAAACTAACTAGGGCAGATTATAACAAAATGGTAATATGAACTGTTTAATGGCATCTAATGTGTGACAAGCTTAGTGTGCTTTTAAAAAGTGCATCTATCCCTGTGATAAGCATTTTTATTTTTTAATTTTAGTTGTGTGCATGCATGCACACATGACAGAGGCAGAGAACAACTTTTGGGAGTCAGTTTTCTCCTTCCATCTGGAGATCATACTTAAGTTGTCAGGCTTCCATTGCAAGCACTTTAATAAAAGGGCATATTTTTACCTGTTTGAGTTGGCATATATAATCTCTTTATATAATCTGAAAATCATGGTCTCTTGATAAAGATATGCTATATCTCAGAATGGTTTCTGAAAAATATTTGTTTCATACCTATAACTAGATCTAAACTGACGTAGAGGCCTGATTTAAATTTCTTTCCAAACTTTTCCAGGATTCCTGTCTTAGCCACCATGAAAGTTTGAAACAATGACTTTATGCATACTTAGTTACTTGGCTCTTACCTGTAGGCATATCTGTTCACTACTTAGTAGCTGATCCTTGCATAATGTCCAACACATACTTTTTGTCCAGTGAATATATATTGAATTGGTTATTCTTAAGAATCGAAACCATTTAGAGATATAAAGGTCCAGATTTGCCAAAAGGTTTAGCTGGCTCAGCATTGGACTCTTTCACCTTTCCTTCTTGGCAGGTTCGGAACTAGTTGATTCTTACCTTTTTCTCTGAAACAGTTGTTGGGAAAACTTTGACACGATTCTCAGTCTGTTTGGCAGAAATCTAGATGTGGAAGCTAAGAAAATACGAATTAATAGCTAATCTACTACATACCGTTAAGAGGTCATGTTTACTTGATGCAAAATAATATCCTTCCCTAAATGAACAGTTTTTCTAGAAATTATGGTTTGATTAAAATCTGATGTGAGCAATTTTCTGTTATTTATAATCATCTGTATTGTAAATAAGACACCAGGTACTTCTGACTTAATGATTTTTCTGTTAATCCATCCTCCAAGATGTTTAGGAAATTGTTTTGTAACTGCAGTTTGCTTGCCATTTCCTATATTTCTAAGAATTTATGTGAGCATTGGTGTTGGCCAGAGAACTTGTCAGACTAGTTCACTGTTCTATGGTTTGGAGGTTGGCATTCATAAGCAAGCATACTAGGTGGGGCAGGTTGAGGGGAGAGGTCACCACCTCTAAGGGGAAAGAGTAAACTGGTTCACAGGAAGACTCAAGCCATTTCTATAATGGGTTGATAGCTGGTTGCAGGTCGTCTGTTTCTGTCACATGTCCTTGTCTCCACAGCTCCTTAAAGTTGTGAAAACCAATAAGAACTCCGGAGCCTTAAAAACAGATGTGGGTGATTTGCCAACCTCTGGACTAAGTGCAGAAATGAGTGTGTTGCTACATGTGTTTACTTTAATGTTTTGGGGACGTGAACCCAGAATAACCTTGGGAATTCTCAGTTGATTGTGATCCAAAGAAGAGTGATCAAAACTTTGACACGTGGGGTCATATTTGACACGTGACAGTCACACTGGGCCCGTGGAACTCAAGGTGACCTTGGCCAGTGGGACAAAGGGCCCTTGCTGCATCTTCCCTTGGGAATACTGGCTGAGGGGAATGGGCAACGGATGGAAGGTGGAATGGAGGTGTGGCTTTCCGATAAGGCTGATCCCTGGCAGGTATAAGGAACATGGTGATACAGATTCCTTAACCACTTTAGGGATGTGGTTAGAGATCTGGCACGAACAGTGAGTTTAGCCAGTTTATAGAAATGAAAAAGCACTTACATGTTTGGATTCTCAGAACAGCAAATTCTGATAGGTGAATTCAGATCTGCCCTGTATTTTTTCTCTGATCACAGGAAATTCTGTGGCACAGCTTAACATGCATGTGGTGATAATTATTTCAGGGTAGTTTAGGAGCTAGGAAGGCACAGAAAGAGCAAGGGATTAGAGAGAGGTCCTTGTCCCGATTCCTACTGAAGTTGTGTGACCTTCAGATGTTTATTTAATCTCCTAAGCTTCAAGATCCTCACTTATAATTGGCAGTGGTGATGACACCACCATGGAGTTAGAATAAATGAGGAGTACTTGTCCTGTTGCACGCATTCAGCAAATGTTGGCAATAATGTGAAAGTGGAGGAGGTTGAGGGTGAGAAATCATGGCAGTTGTGATTCACCGCCACTGAAATGCTGTGTTCATAGTAAGCGTTTGACCACTAGCTGTGTGGGAACATGTTAGGAGCAATGTAGAAGAACTGGATCTGTGTGTGTGTGTGTGTGTGTGTGTGTGTATATGTGTGTGTGTGTGTGTGTGATTTGTAAAATGGAAATAATGTGTTGATAGGTTAGAGATAACCAGATGAGAAGATTTTTAAAAAATTACATTTGTGTGTGTGTATGTGTGTGTGTGTGTGTGTGTGTGTGTGTGTAAGTCAGAAGACAACTTAAGAGTCAGTTCTCTCCTTCTATCACATGTGTACCCTGGGGATCAAACTCAGGGCCTCAGCTTTGTCGGCAAATGCCTTTACCCACTGAGCCATCTCTGGTGAGTCCTGAGATAATGTGTTTGAGTCAAGATTATGGGGAAGTTCTACTTAATTAGTTTCTTGAACTAAGTATTGGGACAGAGCTGGAAGGTGATTTGAGGGCAACTAGAATCTTCTGCTGGTGGCTGGGGTGTAGCTCTATGATAGAGCACTTGCCTAGTATGTGCCAGGAAGGCCCTGGGTTCTGTCCCCAGCCACCACAGTTTTGCTGGGAAGATTTGATAGGATGCTTCCAAGTTGAGTACTTGCATTGGTAACTTGTAATTCGGAATAAGTACTATAAAATTGGAATGCTTTTATGAGTTAAAATGAAATAGAATTTTAAAGCAAATAGCCAATGTGGGGTAATAGACTGGAAGGGCTTAATTTCTGTGGAAAAAACATGATAGATAATATTTTGCAAAGCTTAAATGTGTATTTATTTTTCCTCTACAATTCCATCTCCAGGAATTTCTCCTGGAAATATATTTGCCATATGTATTTGTGTACTAAATCATGTGTGCATACAGTTTTACTTCATACACCATTATTTTAATAAGAAAAATGTGGAACAGAAATGTAGATTTTTCATATTATTTTCAACTCCAATGAGAGAAATTGTGACCACTCAGAATTACTGGATATAACATGTTTTGAAAGAAGTGTATACTATGAAGTATAAATGAAATCTTCTTTCCTGCCCCAGAGTCTTAAGAGATAGGTTACCTTAATCCTGTTATGTTCTTATAATTGTAAACTTGCACCTATATAGTTGGGGAGCTCTGTCTTTTTGGAACTCTCTCCCAAGATAATTAAGTTAAAACAAAATAAAAAGCAAGATGAAGAACACTGTGCCTTGTTAATGCCATCAGTGTTGCCCTGTCCAGAGAGGGACAGAAAGGAACCAGTGATTTCCCTGTGTCAGCAGAGGCTACATTGGGAAGAATATGAAGGTGGTTGTGCAGTTGGTGTCAGTGAAGAACTCTGGATAACTAGTGGGCAGGAAGGAAGATTTCATAGGAAGATTTTATTTACATTTCATAGTATACACTTCTTTTAAAATGTGTTCTGTTCAGAAAGTTTGAGTGGTCACAGTTCCTCACATTGGAGTTGGAAATAATATGAAAGCTCTGTTTCTCTCTCACATCTGTATCTGTTTGCCTGGTCCCTTTTGACCTTGATAGCTGGAGAAGCTGGCTGTAGGCTTACCCTAAAAACAGCCCTTTCTTACACACACGTGGAAGCACATTGACGTTTCTCTTCCTGATCTGTGTGATTGATGATGTTTCTCTTTCCACCCCCAGCTCTGGCAGCATGTAAACAACCTTTTGCCAAGAACCCAGGTCACTGCTGAGAAGGACTCAAAGGGAGACGAACATCAGAGAACACCAATGCCAGGTGTGTCTGGAGTAGTGCTCGGTACAGGCAGCATGAAACGTTCTGTGCCAGCCTCTGCGTGCTACTGGAGAAGGCTGGGGCTCTCCAGGTAGGACAGTCCCGGGGCAGCCAGTGCCAGGAGCCTTCCAAAGGAGCATGGGGTCCGCAACGAACTCTCTTCAGTTTTAGCTTATGAAGGAATTTTAAGTAAAGGTTACTTAATTTGGTTTGAAGTGCTAGCAGTCACCCCTCTCCACTGGAATTACCAGGATTTTGCTGGCACCAAGGTGAGCGCTTCTTGGTACTTCTGGCAGTACAGATCTTCAGGGCAGAGTCAGCTGCTGAATGCTCTGGGGAAGGAAGAAAGTGAACCCTCTGGCGGCAGACCATAGAGCTAAGCAGGTAGCTCTCCCTTTGCCCAGATACTCAGCTGGGACTCGGATGCTGTTCCTGAAGCCTTGTCCTGCCTCACTAACCACAAAGTCTATCTGTTCTGGGGAGACCTGGCATTTCTCGGCTGCCTCCTGTGGCCTTTTCTATCATTCTGCCCCCAGCCCTGAGTACAGGCAGTTGGATGATGTGAATTTTGAGATGGAGTTTGTCACCCCTGGGGGACTGGCTTCCTTTCCCAGGCTTGAAGTATCGGAAGGAACCATCTGAAGACCGTGTTCGTTTGTGGAAAGGAAGGCACAAGCCTGGCCTGCAACGTCCACCATGTTCCTGTTGCTGCCTTTTGATAGCCTGATTGTCAACCTTCTGGGCATCTCCCTCACGGTCCTCTTCACCCTGCTACTTGTTTTCATCATCGTTCCTGCCGTTTTTGGAGTCTCCTTTGGTATCCGAAAGCTCTACATGAAAACACTGTTAAAGATCTTTGCGGTGAGTGTACTATTGTAGGTTTCCTCACAGGGGAGGGACGAAGTACATTAGCAGAAAGTGTTTCTTATCTGGAATCCTCTTGTCTTATATATCAGAATGGGACTTAGAATTTGTTATAATGTCACTGTTGGATGCTTCCTCTTAAAGAACAGATAGTGAAGCACACGGCTTCTGTTGGTGGGTTCATTTCTTCCTTTCACAGTTATCTGAGGTAGATTCTTGCATTCAAGCAAAAAGAATGAACAGAAAAGAGCATTTGAACTATTTTTTGGAAGGTGAAGGGAAAGGATAATACATTTCTGAACGTATTCAGTACTTATTTCATTATGCCTTGGACAGAACTGGTCCTGGTAAATGGAAACAGATGAGAAAAAGTATTTCGTGGCAGTTGATCTGTGATATTATACTTTTAATATTTAGTCAGAGATTTGGTAGTTGAGATGCAGAATATATTTTCATTAGTTACCATATCATCAGGGTTCTTTTCCCACAGCTGAAGTGTGTCCTAACTTGTTCATGTATCTTCAGGTTGGTTTTGTACTCCTCTGCTTTGTGGTGTTTGGCGGTGCTGGGGATCAAACCCAGGGCATGGTGTGCAAGCACTCTACAGTTTGTAGAAAAGAGTTGTTTTCACTTTCTTTTGGTTCCTTTGAATTCTATGGTGGACAGGATAAATACCTGTATTTTGTCAATAAAGCAGTTTAGAATATGAAATGGTTGTTACGGTGGGAAATATTTTTACACATGTTACAGAATCATGGGTTTTATCTTTTTGGTGCTTAATGACCTTACAAGAATATATGATCTTTTCTCACAATAAAAACAAAACAAAACAAAAAACTGAGGTGAAATTAACAAAGTGTAAGCCAAACTGTGTTAAACACCGTTTAGTGGCATTCAGTGTGTTCATGCTATATAGCCAGCACCTCGTTTACTTCCTTCAAAAGGAAACTCAAACCAGGCATGACAATCCCAGTACTGGGGAGGCTGAGATAGGGCTAGGAATTCAAGGCCAGTCTGAACTGCATTTAGAAAAGAAGAGGGGGGGAGGGGAGGGAGAAGGGAAGAGAGAGACAGGGAGGGGGAGGAGAGAGAGAAGAGATCAGATGAGATCAGAAAACTAAAAAAGAAAAATCCCTTACTCATTTAGCAGTCCGAGTCCCTGGCCGCCATGAGCTCTGTTCTCTCTCTAGAGTTACCTAATGGAATCATATGCAATACAATGTACCCTTTTTTATGTCCCTTCTTTGACTTACCATAACATTTTCAAGGTTCATCTACATGATAGTAATTGTCAGTACTTTTGTATGTGTAGTTGAATAATAACTCCTTAAATATCTGTACTATAATTTGCTTATGCATTCATCCACTGATGGACACTGATAGATTGTTCACACCTTTTGATTGTTGAGAATAGTGTTGCTGTGGACATATGTGGACCTGCTTGTATTTGTTGATTGTTGGGAGTACCTGTTTTCCAGTGCATGATTTTTTTTTTGAGTACTGCTCATGATGATCTATGGGGTTATGGGCAGTGTAATCCTTGCTGCTCATCTGACTGGAGATTAACAGCTACTTGGAGCTTATAGGTTTTAGATTATAAATGAAGATCTCAAGCCCACTGTAAACCTACTGAATTAGAATCTGCTGTGTGTGTCTCTGCCTGCCTGTCTGTGTCTGTGCATGTGTGTGTTCTTGGGAACCAGAAGCCTTGTTTTCACATGCTAGGTAAGTTCTCTATCACTAATTTTTTTCTCTATCACTAAATAATATTCTCAAACCAAACACTGCATTTTAATGAGGTACAGCTGATTCACTTGCATATTACAATTGGAGAAGTAGTTATCTAATGTAAAGTATTTTAAGTAATCAGGAAATACGATTTTCACATTTCAGGCCAAGAAAAAACCTTTAAAAGAACATAGGATTCCTGTGGACTAGGCTAACTTGACTGTAATATGACTTAATGCCATTATGAAAAATACATTGGGACGGAATTAGTAGACTAATTGATAAACTTTGAGGAGACAGCAGTGGGCCAGATATGACTTTTATTCAAGTTTTTTTTTTAATTTACTGTTTTTTGAGGTACACACCCAAGCTCCTGATAATGTCATTTCTTTCTTTACTTATCTTAATTATTATTATTTTTGCAACTCTGGAAAAGATCCACTTTGTTGCTTTGAGCAGTCTCGTGTAGCCCAGGAACTGGCTAAGGTCAGGGATAACCTTGAACTCCTGATCTGCCTGCTTCTACCTCTGGAATGGTAGGATTATAAGCCTATGTGCCAGTACCCTGGTTTATGCAGTGTAGTATGTATGAATTGAACCTAGGGTCTTCTGCATGCTAGGCCAGCACAACCAACTGAGCTACATCCCCAACAGCTCTTTTTTTTCCCTTCCATTTTGCTGTATATGTGTGTTGAGCATGTGTTTATGCCTATTTTTGCATGAGAAGAGTGGACACACTTGTGCCTGTGGGGCCCAAGGTTGTTAGTAACCCTCCTGTCACATTTCCACCATATTCATTAAGGCAGGCTCTCTCAGTCAAATCCAAAGTTTGTTGATACGCTTGCTCTGGGGATCCCATGCCTGCCTTATGAGGCTGGAATTACAGGCAGGCCACATTGCCCACCTGACATTTATGTGGGTTCTGGGAATCTAAATTCTACTCCCATGATTGAACCACTAAGCCACCTCCCAGCCCCCTGTAACTGTTGTTTTGGTTTGTTGAAACATGGTCTCACTATGTAGCCCTGGCTAGTCTGGAACTCACAATGTAGACCAGGTTGGCTTCAAACTCAGAGATCTCTTGCCTCTGCTTCCCAAATTCTGGGATTAAAGACATGGGCCACCCAGCAACAGTTGTCATTTTAAAGCAGAAGTAAGAGTTATGAGCCTAGGATTCTTTAGTTGAACTGAAGTTGATAGCCAAGTAATTCTTAAGGATGGTGTTAAATATTGAACCCTGTTAGGTTCCTGGAAGGTTCCTAAAATGGTGGCGCAGCTCCCAACATTCTAAAATGGTGGGTTTGAACTTACCCTGGGCAAGTCCCTCTGCTTGTTTGGAGACCAACCAGTCCTGAGCTAAACTGCCCAGCCTGTATCATGGAAAGTTACCCAACCACCTACTCACTGCTCTTTCTCTCCTGCTGTTTCCCTGTTCCCTGAGAGAGGCAGCCCAGCAGTCTGTTTGCTCTCAAACTGCAGGCCTCCCACCCCCATGTCTGGTCGGTAGTCTTAGCTGCTCTGCCTCCATACAAACCTCAGGTCTTGTGCATGCCAGACAAGCACTCCGCCACTGAACAAGTAAATTCTTTTTATGATTATGTTTTTAAAATAAATATTTCAGGGGCTAGAGTGATGACTGGGTCGGTGGTTAAGGCTGCCTCCTGCTTTCACAGATGACCCAAGTTCTGTCCTAGTACCCACATTAGGCAGCTCATAACTGCCTATAACTGAAGTGGACCTAACACTTTCTTCTGGCTTTCAAGGGCATTGTAGTCACACACACAACCACTCCCACCCCCATCCCCCACCCAGACATAATAAAAATAAAGTCTTAGCCAAATGTAATGGCTCATGCCTTTAATCCCATTTGGGAGATAGAGGCAGATGATCTCTGTGAGTTAAGGCCGTCCTGGCCTACACAGAGAGTTCTAGACGAGCCAGGGCTTTTTAGTGAGGCCCTGTCTCAAAAAATAAAATCTTTAAAAGTAGAAACCATTAAAATCCTCCCCGTGTGGTGGCATGTACTTGTAATCCCCAGCACTCAGGAAACAGGCTAGAGTATTACCACAAGTTCAGGGCCAGTTTAGGCTACACAGCAAGATCTGTCTCATAAAACAACAACAAAGTACTTGCTTATAACTTTTAAATATATGGTGGGAGTTTCATTAAATGTTTACTGTTGGGCTGACCTGTGAGACATGTAATCTCAGAAGGCCATCAGAGACTATCGGCACATCTTAAAAATTCACTGTTCCCCTCAGAACAGTGATTTAAAGTGGTGATGATAATAGTGCACACAGGGGCTGGAGAGATGGCTCAGCAGTTAAGAGCACTGACTGCTCTTGCAGAGGACCTGGGTTCGAGTCCCAGCACCCACATGGCGGCTACAAACAGTCCTTAACTCCAGCTCCAGGGGAATCCGAAGCTTTCTTCTGACCTCCATGGCATTGCACGACATGGGTGCACTCACATACATGCAGGCAATGCACTCATACACATAAAATTAAAATAATAATTTTTTTAAAAATTTTTAATTAAAAAAAGAAAATAGTGCATACATTCGTAGCCTCAAGATTAGGGGTTTAAAACAGTAGAGACTGTGGCTATAGCTCACTGGTTGAGCTCTTCCCAGCATGTGCAAGATCCTAACCCCATACAGAAAAAAAAAAAAAAAAATTTCTAGAAAATGCATTTTTGTTCCTTATATCCTAGAGGTATGTGCCAAGCATTCAGGAGGACTCAGAGTACCCTGTGGATCTTAATGGACAGTTACAAATAGTCTGTACGCTACAGTAAGGGATGGACTAGAAAGACCTGGTTTAGGTCAGCAAGGGCTTAGGGTGGTCCTGGAAAGTGTCCAGTCTGTTTTCAAAATCTTCTGTGTTCTAAGTTGTTGATTCTCATACATTCATATTCTCTCTCTCTCTCTCTCTCTCTCTCTCTCTCTCTCTTGCAATTGGGCTACTATAACAGATTTCCATAGCCTATAAAAAACATTTATTTCTCACCAGTTCTGGAGATTGGGAAGTCCTAAGAACAAGGTGCAGCAGTTGTCTGGTCAGGGCCGACTTCTTGACTCACATACTTTCAGTCTTCTCTCCGTGTTCCAGGACTAGGGTGTTCTTTAGGGTCCATTCTTTTAAAAATTTTTATTTTATATGTGTGGGCCTGAGTATATATGCACACCACATTGTGTGGAGGTGCATTGGAGGCCAGGAGAGAATATCAGATCCCCTGGAACTGGAGTTACAAGCAGTTGTGAACTGCCT